TGAGATTTTTATGAAATCTCATTCCTTCCTATGTTAAGTTATGCATCAAATAGGGAATGGTTCAAGCAAGGACAAGGGCAAGGAGATAGTGTTGGGATGATGAGCTTGTATAGACCTTATGACATTTTTGTTGTAATGTATATTGATGAATTTTGGTACAATGTTGTAAGGGATTATGAATGAGATTAACTTGGGATCATGTAATTATATTGTGGCATTTATGCCCATGAATATGGTCTTGGCATGGCTGATTGGCATAGCATGAAAAAGAGGAAAGACAATTTAAGAAATTAGGAGTTAAGGGATAAAAATACCCTAAATAGGGATAATTTTGGGACACATAAAATAATTAGCAAATGAATAAATTTGGACTTGAGATTTCACAGACTTATAGATCTCACTTTTAGCTTTAAATCAAGTGATAGATCATTAAATTTTGGGTTTTGTGCTAAGAGTTATGCCCCTCCAAACTTGGGCTAAAATACTGAAAAATTGAAAAATAATCAAATGAACAGTATAACTTTGCAAGGTTTTTGACTCTATTTTATCATGATATGGTTCCAGTGAATATTTTTCCTTAAAGAACACACTACAAGCTTTCCATAGAGCTTAGAACCACCTCATTTGGATTTTTTTACAATTATTTATGAATTTTCAAAATTGACAAAAATTTCAATGAATAGTGAATAGTTACCTGAGACTAAAATTTTTAAATATTGAATTTTCTGACTTCTAGGTTTTGGGAAAGGGTTCCAAATGACTCTGTTTGTGATCTAATATGGTATAAAAGGAGGTGTGATAGTACAAGGATAAAAACTATCAATACATTTTCACAGGTGCCACAATAAAAACTCAAAATAATCAATGAACTCATATAAACATTTAACTCCACTACCGCTAGCCATATATAATAAGTTGCTGTACGTCATTCAAGTATTAATTTCAATTAATTTTTAATAATTAAATATAGTATACGTTTACAATAGGAATTTGCGAATTCACAACAAAAATATGAGTTTGCAAACACCAAATCACCATTGTCCTAAAGAAGTGGAATTTGCAAATTCATAATACACTTCCTGATAGGAACTAAAAGGCTTACTCTCAACACTCAATGGTATGAATCTAAAATCAACCAACTATATAATTTTATCTGAAATCTAAGTAGTAAAAAAAATTTCTCGCTGGTTCAGGACTTCACAACAGTCCAAACCAAATCCATAAAATCTACACTAGAAGAAATGGAAAAGGATTTTGCAATATTATATGTAGAAATTTTTGAATGGAAAGGCGGTGACAGAGGTCGCGTACACACAGAGAGAGAGAGAGAGAGAGACTATGGCGACAATGAAGGCTTTTGTTACTAGAACAGCATTGACGGCAAAGGCACTCCATACAAGAATAGTAGTGACGGCGAAGGCTCACCTTGCCAGAACAACGACAACGGCAAATGATCTCTCTCAACACAATAGTGGATTTTTTAGAGAGTGAGAGAGAGAAAAGCTTGAGTTATCGACAGTTTTAAGAGAGAGGGGGAAGAGATCCAGTGTCACAGTTTTGAAGGGTAATAATGTCTTTTCTCTTTTTAAATTAATATCAGTTTGCTCCTTTAGTCCTATAATGATATTTTAGACTGTTTTCAGGGCTATTGAAATAAATTGTCTATCGTGGTCTTTAATTGAAAATTTCCCAAACTTTTATATTAAAGTCATTGTTGTCGTGTCGCAAGAGTCTAACCGCTAATGCAAAACATCGATTTAACCACATGATATCGCTTCAGTTACTTGGGGAACAGAAATAGTAATGTATAAGTGACATATTTTACCTCTATTTTAAGTGCAACTGACACCATAATTTACATTATGATGTCAGTTGCATAAGCACTAGATGTCATAATTAAGTTTATGATATTATCACTTTAGGTGTACTCCAAACAGATGCCATAATAGCTACTATAGAGTCACCTTCGTAAGCAACAAACACCGTAATTTATTATATAAAGAGATTTGTTTATCAAATAAGTAATAAGACCTAAAGTTTTAAAATTCAATTGAAAAATAAATATATTTTAAAGTATAATATGTTAAAATTATAATTAAAGAATAAAAATAAAGTAAATAATAATAATATTGTAGTTACCTCTGTTTTTAGCAGTAATATTATTACATTATTAACTAATTTCTGCTGCTCCTATTTCTACTACACCTCATAAGCAGTAGCGAAAATGCATTTTTAACTGATGCCAACTATAGCATTTTGTACTAGCGAACTGCTAATCGGGGTGGCATCTAATAGCCAGCAAAGGTGGCTTTGAAACGAGAGGGGGAGAGAGATATAGCATTGAAAATAGATGAAGGCAAATGGTAAAATACTATATATTCACAAATTTCAAATGGGATCTATGATCCTTTTATATACATACATGTATATAGATATATAACATTCTCTTTTCATAACTTCACATAAACATGCGGTTTCTTCCTTCCCTATATTTCTCTAGTCAAGATGATCGGGCAATAGAACTTGTAGAGTTATTTATTGACAACAGACCATTTTGCAAAATTTAACTAAAAGCAATAATCACCCAAATCCTGTATTTATTATGCTGTAACACTAGTTGCATAAATAAGTTGGTGAAATTATATCAAAAGATATAGTGTTCAGTCACATCTTGCATTTTACAAACTAGCATTAGGAGGGAACGTGGCACATAAATATTTATTAAATACAGCAAACATATTAAATGTATAGGACTGACAAGGCAGAATTTTTTTGGACATATTTCACAATTTGTGTCATTTGCATAATTCAAGAAGATATTAACTACTCTTCCGGTCCTTAATATATGATCTAATTATTGAATTGATTTTATTCCTAAATACAATACTATTTCTCATATTTATTATTTTTTCCTAAATTACCCTTATGGATACTCCCTCAACCATAATCAAGTAGAAGAAAGAAGAAGGATATTAAGAAAGATAATTATGGTGTTTTAAGAAAAACATGTCATATTTCTTATAATTAACTAACTTATCTAACTTTCTTAATTCTAATAAAATTAGTTAAATAGGTCTTATATTAAGGATCGGAGAAATATTTTATTTTTTGTTTTGTTTCTGTTAATGCACCTGTTAGTGGTCAAAGAATATCTATTTAAAGAGTAAGTATTAACAAGTCTACAATACTGTAGACTTTTCAAATATCAAGTTGTTCACAAAACAAGAAAATTAAAGAGTAAAGAAAATTATGTTAGAAAAAAGGTTTGAATCTACAAGTGGTCCATTATCACACATTAACATTAAGAATTATATTTTCATTATCATTTATATTGTATAGGCTATAGAGTAATCCCACAACATACGTTAGTGACGAGAAGAATGTAACCTTTATCTCTTTAACAAGTATAATTCCACTTCTGGTATTAGCATCTGCGAAATTGTTTGTTGCCTCAACTACGTCCTTTAGGTCAAACAGAGTTATATTGGAATTGTCTTCTTCGAAAAAAGCTTCGTGTATTCTTTTTGCTGTGTGAAATAAAAGTTGGAAAAAAATGTAAGAGATGAGTTGTAATACAGCCAATTAATCACTACTGTAGATTCAAAAGACAAACCTCCTAGTAAGCTTCGTGCATTCTTTTTGCTGTGTGAAATAAAAGTTGGAAAAAAATGTAAGAGATGAGTTGTAATACAGCCAATTAATCACTACTGTAGATTGAAAAGACAAACCTCCTAGTAAGTTTATGTGCAGTGTATATAGATTGTATTAACTCAAGAACTTTATTTGTGGGGAAAAAGATAGAAATAAAGCTCACCTTGATTCCTGTTCTTTATTTACAAACCAACATAAGAAAGAGATCACCAGGAACGTTATCAAGCAAAAAGAAATAACTATGAGGGTCGCCATCCCCTTCTTGCCAAGAGAACCATGATGCTTCCTTTCATATATATCTAGCTGCAAACAATAGTTCACCAAAGAGGAATTTAAGTTCAAACAAATAATGTAAGCTTAAAATGTTTTTTTTTTCCCCGCATGAGTTACTATGATACTTATGAGAGCTTATAGTGTTAAATTGTTGGCGGTAAGGTCGGTCAACTTTGTGTGTCTCCAAAACATACAAAGCCGTTGCATGAGAACCTGTACTGTGAGATATAGAAGTCATCCTAACTATGTGATAAATATATATATATATGTATATGTATTATCTGAGAAACGTTAAGTGAATATACTCTCACTAGTGTGGGAAAATGATACTTCTTACAATAGAACACCCAGTATGTCGATTGAAAGATCCATCTACACATAGGTTTGGATAAAGACGCTTCTTTATTTTGAATTTGTGTCTAAAGCATTCAGCTTCAGGCTTGAGGCCTCAAATGTGCATTCCTCTAATCCTCTCTATTGTCTATTATGATATCCTAATTTTGGAAATATTTTATTTTAATTTTTTCTTTTGATGATTCAATTTTACATAAAATTAGTGACATACTCATATCTTGAGTAAAAAAATAGTGCAATTTTAAAATTTGTATGATTTTAAAAAAAAAATTAAAATTTTGAGGGACATTAAAGGTTGGGAGGGTGGGACATCACAAAAGATATAGGGGGAGACACATTAAAGGCCCAGAACCTTCCGCTTCAGACTATTTATCTTCCCAGTTTGTGCCTCGCATATAAGTTTTCTCAATTTGATCCCTTGTAAATAAAATCATTATCAATAATGATACTTGGATAATATATCATCAATATAAATGATAATCAGTCTGCATGTCATAAAATGTTATAAAATGACCAAAATAAATTTTACAATAAAAATAAATAAAATACAGTTCTCATTAACTAATCTCTTAAAATTTAAAAAAGTAATTAATATTAAGTAAATGAAGAAAAATTTTAGAGAAAAAGGCATGTTTCAGAAAGAAATAAATTATTTAATTTTGTAAATGGTTTTATTAAAATTAAATAATATAATTACAAATACACATATTACATCTATATTACTAGAAGTTCTTTTTGGCAGTATTCAAGTGGTTATACTTAAATTTTGTACTGTTAATAACAAAAATATAAAAGAAGTGAAAGTAGAGAATATACCCAATTCATTTGCATCCACGCCCACATACAAGTCTTGGCCCACATTTTCGAATGTCCTGAGTCTTCCACATCAGCATGCCATGTCAAACACCCACCTTGTTTGACCTCATCCGCATTCGTATACGCCACACCCGAACAATCCCTTGGGCACTTTTCATTACGACGTTTCAAGTCCATATTCTCGCTCTTATCCACACGTGCCTTTGATGTATCTGGCACCTTCACATGTGCCACTTTCACAAACCCCTCCCCGCTACGACATGTGGACACATTCTTCTTACTCACACACCCACTTGACCCATTTCTCATTTTCCACTCATATGGGTTCATGGGTTCGAATCCAGGCAAGCCCACACACTCAAACTTGTTCATATTATATGGGTCACACTTACTATTCAACCCATACCGACGATAGTGGTCACAGTCCTCTGTCGGCCCATGCCAAACTTGGAGCCAATTATTCTCCTTAGCTCGCCAAATAGTTTGCGTCTCATGGCCAATGTTGTCTGGCACCATTATTAAGAATACTGAAGGGTCCATGACTCGGGTCATAATGCTAACTTCATTGGCATTGTTAATATAAGTGATGTTGAAGATGAAGTTAGGCGTCATTTGTGGTATTCCACTAAATCTCTGACCTGTCCAAGACCCGCTTGGCCAAAATAGAGCTCCATTTTTAAGCAAGAATAGTTGAGGATAACCTGTTGGGTCGATTATGTGAGTCACATCCCTAATTAAAACCAATTCTCAGGTCCACCCCAATTTTCATGAGCGGAAGCATCGTGTCACTAGGGTAGTCAAAACTCTGCCATATTAGCCTCCCTTTATTTTTGATTGAAGGAAATAATATAAATAGAGAGAGATGAAGGAAACTTACTATGTCAGTTCTGGGTTTTGATGCTGGTAGCTTAAGCATTATCTTGACTACTAGAGTCTTGATAAGAATGGCACAACAGATGCACCAAGAGAGGAAAAGAGGACACCAAAAAACTCAACAGTTGGAGTGAAGAGAAGGGGTGGAGGCATCTCATATTTATAGGGCCAGGGTGACCCTTATTTCAAGAAGGTGCAATCTTCCTCATTTGTTGCAAGATAATATTCCGATTCGACAATTAATGTCCGATTGATTTCTCTCCAATCAATCAAGTCCATAATGCTTGATTGAATATTCCTTAATCAATCATTAATTACTTTTGATTTATGATTGATTTTCTTGATCAGAGAGATTCTCTTCTCTTGGATCAAGTAGTACTCCGGCCCATCAAGGGCAAACTCGTGCCCAATGTCTAACATCTCCCACTTGTACTTGATGGGTCGACCATCATGCGATTCTCCTTCTCATTTCATGCTTGGTGCTCTACCGTGACTGTGTGGGCACAACATCTTCTACTTTGGATGCTTGTTCACTTGAAACTCTTGAGGCAGAGTCAGTGCACAAGGACATCTTAGGTATGCTTGAATGTCGGCCTCAAATGCCCTAGATTTACCCTTACACATTTCTCATGGAGTGTCTAATTCCTCTTTAGTCAGGTTTATCTAACTCAAATCGCCTAGTTGTATGTGTAGCTTCCATACTTGTGAGCTACTCAAAATGCTCACAAGGGACATATCATAGATACCAGCATAATTGTGTAATTCAGGTTTAATCTTCTTTTTGACTAGTCATCATTCAAGTATAACTTCATTGCTTTCCTAGCATTTGGCTTGTTAGACCAGATCTCTCATGATGATAGGGTACAAGCTAAGGTTTGTTCCTTTCAGGGACTCACATTGAAGTGGGACAAGGGATCTTCCTACTTGCATCTTGGTTATGGTTGATAGAAGTACATACAGTATGAAATTGCATGTCAAAATATTTGTCTTAATCTGTTAAGAGTGTGTGTCATTTTTCTTTGTTAACATCATACAGACTCTAGTTCTAAGCATACCTATGCCTAAACCAGAACTCTTTGCTTGACACATAGCAACGTCTTCCAAGATGAGTTCTTTATCTGGCCATAGGCTCCATGAACTGTACGATTGTTCATGATTCAACCTATTTCGTATATAAGCCTCATCTCAAGCTCACTTGAGGTGACATGTGTGTGGTGATTGAGCCCAATTCTTTTATGTCTTTTTATATCATTTTTAGGGCTTTTATCATAGTTAGTGACTCTTTTAGTGATAAATGTGCTTAATTTAGATTAAGCCTCCTTTTTTTGAGTTAGTGTCTTTTTAGGATGAAATTTTTATAATTGGTTATTAATTGTATTCAATTGATTTCAAGGACAATTAATGCTTCAACTTGCTGCTTTTCGTTGTAGGACACTTAAGAATCAGAGCCAAGATTAGAGACCCATGGATTGCACAACATAAGAGCCAGAATACTGTTCTTGGAAAGCTTCACTGCGACCAAGATAATTATGCACTCTGACGCAATTGGAGAATATACGTAAGTGTCATTTGGGGATATTTTCACTGGCTTATAGAATTTTGCTTAAGCTCCTTTTAGGAAAGCTTTGCTGAGGTGAAGGCCTCGTATCAGCAACTTAAATTCAGATCCTAATCGCAAAATTAGAGTACCCACTCGTTAAAATGCTATTTTCAACCAATCACTCCATTCACTCATCCATAGCCTTCTCCATTCATCGTCTCTTATTCTCCCTCATCAAATCCTCATCTTCTTCCATTTTTCCTTCATCTTCCACCATGGGTAGCTCGAAATCATTACTGATTGTGGTGCTTCCTACTCCAATGCATGGCTAGGCATCTATTCTCTTAAAGATGGGTTAATTGGCATAAGTTCCATGAGCAAAGGGGAGTTGGTTTCAGCTATAGTTCTAGTTGCTCCTTTATGAATTCCTAGATCTAGGATTTGTAAAATTGTGGTTGAACTATGTTGATTATGATTATAATCAATTCTGAATGATTATTTTTTTATGAGATTAGTTAATGTTGAATGTGAGTATTTATATATGTGATTACATATATGTTTCTGTGCGATTCTTTTGATACTCTCTTTCTTCCATGATATTGTGTGATTATTGAGCTAATCTAGATTTGTATTGAACCAAGCACATTAATTAACCTTAATACACACACTAAGTGAGATTCATAGTGTTTTTTGATTGGATGGCCATTCATTAAGATCCTAGACTTAAAGGATTCTTTAAGGTTTTTCATTTAGAAACCTTAGTGATTTCCATTCCCAACATTATTTTGAACTATGATTGTTAAAGATCTATTTTCAAGAAGTTTTATCAACTGTTTTCAACACTTGTTATTTTCATCCATTTCATCCTAATTTTCTAAAAATCCAAAAATATATTTACCTTGTACTTCATTTCAATTAATAGTTTTAAATGAAAATGCCTAACTTTTTCCTAGTCATTTTGCATTTTTATGATATTTAGTTAACTTAAAATCAATAACTAAAGGCTTCAACAAGAGAATAACCTGAGGTTGCACCCTATAGTGTAATCCTTGGATTAATTTTGCATTTAACCCCAAGGCGTTAAGCGAACAGTTAAATCATGCGGTGATACTTGTTAACCATTCCATGACTCTTGCTACATGACTGGAGATCACGTAATGTCTCATCTTCTTTATTTCTCATAAAAGTTTGAAGGCAGTTACTCATGTGAAAGAGTTAACCTTACCTTGTATGATACTACAAGTTTTGTATACCATTGAATGATTTGAAAAAGAAAGTACATAATTTTATTGAATGAAAGAAAAAAACATTCAGTACATCAGGTTCTACACATGCCCATAGCTATCACATGTTTAATAAAAGGGTCTCTTGTTATGGGCTTCATAAGGGGATCAGGTAACATCTTTTGAGTAGAAAGGTATTGAACTGTGACTTGTTTTTTTAGCAATCATATCTCTTACAAAATGATACTTAATGTCTATGTGTTTGGTTCTACTGTGACATTTTGGGTCCTAAGCATAAGCTATATTTCTGCTTCGCTATCACAGCGAGAACTGGTCCCTTATTGGCATTATTCACTGGTAATCGCTCAAAGAACCTTTTGAGCCATACAACTTCTTGAATGACGATAAAACATGCCGCATATTTTGCTTCCATAGAAGATAAAGACACGCATTTCCAATTAGCATATCCTGAAGTAGAGTGGTGCTCATCAAGATCTCCTGTCCAATCAGCATCAGAGAATCCTTTCAAGTGTAGGTTGTTGCCACCATAGCACAATTCGTAGTCTATGGTTGCCTTCAGGTACCTCATGATTCTCTTTACTGCTTCCCACTATTTCACACCTGGGTTTGATTAGAAACGGCTTACAAGTCGAATTACAAAACATATATTTGGTCTTGCACACAACATTGTGTACATCAAACTATCAACTGCACTTGAGTATGAGACTCTTTTCATGTGCTCTATATTGGACTCTTTTTTAAGGTATGTATCCTCAGTTAGGTTGTGTCCCTTAACAACAAGGGTCTCTATGAGTTTACAACCCCTCATGTTGAATTGTTCAAGGACTTTTGTTATGTATGTCTTTTGAGATAAAAATAATAACTTTCTCAAATGATCCCTTCTTATCTTGACTCCCAAGATATATTCTACCTTACCTATGTCTTTCATTTTAAAATTCAAAGACAACCAATCTTTGATTACTTTAACTGCTTTTAAACTTGATTCGACTAGTAATATGTCATCGACATATAGGGATAAGATAACAAAGTCTTTCCTAGACCGCTTTATGTATATGCAATGATCCTCTTCAATCATTTCAAAGTTAAACTAGGTTATTGCTTTATGGAATTTTAAATATCACTATCCAGATGATTGTTTCAACCCATAATTAGACCTTAGGAGCTTACAAACTTACTCCTTTAGTTGCTTCATGTAGATTTCTTCATCTAGTTCCTCATTCAGAAAAGCAGTGCTCACATCCATCTAATACAGTTCCAAGTCCAAACTTGCAACTAAAGCTAACATCATTCTAATTGAGTTAAAGCGTACTATGAGTGAAAAGATATCCTCGTAATCAACCCCTTCCCATTTTGTATACCCCTTTGATAGCAAGTGTGATTTGAGTTTATTGATTAACCCATCTGCCTTTCTTTTGTATTTGAGAACCCACTTGTTCCTAATAACCTTTCGGCTGAGCAGTAGATCAACCAACTCCCATACTTGGTTGGATTTCATTGAATCCATTTCCTCTTGTATGGCACTCTGCCGTTTTTCCATAGCAAGTCTCGTTAGTGCCTCCTAAATACTTTTAGGATCCTCCTTGTTATCTTCTAGACTGACGATGAGAGTTGCCCCCTTAACTGAGAAACATCTTTGGGGGGGTCTTGTCCTTCTTACTTCTCCAAAGTATGGTTTCTTGTGTGGGATTCTTCTCCTGTGCTTGCGTCTGGGTGAGGTTTTCTGGTGGTGAAAATGTCTCAACCCTTCTACTCGGATCAGTGGACTAAGGAATATTTGTTGCTTCCTCCTGATCGTTATTCTCATATAGAGATATAGTGTGATCAATACTCCGTTTATTAGGAAATTTTGTCTCTAAGAATGTGGCATCTCTTAAGATTATCTCAATCACCGAGTTGTCACCATTTTTACTAATGAAGACATATCCCTTAGAATGTTTTGTGTAGCATATGAAAAT